AGTCTTGGCACAGCAGCGGTCATGTGATCCGATTCGTCAGAACCCAGGAGCCGGATTCCTGCCTGTCCCTTCTTCCTCATGCCCGGTCACCCTTTCGGACCTGACGCGAGACACGAGATAAAGGGGCACCACATACAGGGTGACACCAAACAGCCACATGGTCGTAAGGAGAAATGCTTCTTTTCCGTCCGTTTTCTTGTTTCATAGACATGAATGTAACTAACTACACATTGCACCAAAGACCAACCGAACCGCCCATAACTTTGCCCTTTGTGACTCCATCGCAACTAGTGTATGCCCTCGGAAATCAGTACCATCCATCATGCCTTCTTTTTTTTTTCCCTGCCAATAATCGTCGTTTCAAATTGTTTCTGTCGTGCGATATCGAGAGAACGCGTGGAGAAAACGTAAGTGCCGCGCTTGACTTAGCTGTGCAAGTAGAAAACAAATCATGAGTCTCAATTCCCTATCTAGAAGTATGCTCCAAGGCACCAAATGCTCTTCCACTTACAACTTGTTAGGCGCCGAAGCCGCAGTCGTCGGCCATTGGTAACCAGCAGCATCACTAAACTTGTAGCCGTAGGAAGAAGTGAAGTCATCGAGAACGGCAGGGCCGCGAGAGCCTGCAAAGCGTGTTAGTGCCGGCACGGCATCGGTCGGACAGTCGCGAAAGGGGGCACTCACCGTAGGGGTACTCCATGGGGATGATCTCCTTGTTATCGTCCAGGTAGTGCAGCAGGGGCGTGAAGATCCTCCAGCTGGCGTCCAGCTCGTCGTCGCGCACAAAGTTGGAGTGGTCGCCCTTGAGGCAGTCGAGGATGAGAGACTCGTAGGCCTCGGGGATCTTGAGGTCGGAGAAACGGCGGCGGTAGGTGAGGTCGAGCTCGGTGACGACCGTCTGCATGCTGAGGCCGGGGAGCTTGGAGTTCATCTTGATGTAGACCGACTCGTTGGGCTGGATACGCATGACGAGCTCGTTGCGGGGGATGTCCTTGAAGATACCCGACGTGACATCCTTGAACTGAATGCGGATTTCCGTCTTCTGCTCGTTAAGAGCCTTGCCGGCCTTCATGATGAAGGGCACTCCGTCCCACCTCTCGTTCTTAATGTAGGCGACTAGGGCGCAGAACGTGGGGCACCTCGAGTCCTTGGGGACAGTGTCGTCTTCCTTGTACGACGGCTTGCTGCCGTCCAGCGACTTGCCGTACTGACCGATAATAACATTCTTGGGCTCGATCGCGGGGATGGCGCGCAGCACGCGGACCTTCTCGTCGCGGATGTCCTCGGCGGAGAAGGAGATGGGTCGCTCCATGGCAAGCAGGGTCAGCACCTGAAGCAAATGGTTCTGCATGACATCGCGAACGATGCCAAACTCGTCAAAGTAGCCGCCACGGCCCTCGGTGCCGAAAGGCTCCTTGAATGTGATCTGCACGTTGTCGATGTTCTGCCTGTTCCAGGTGGCGCCGAAGAATGAGTTACCGAATCGAAGGATGAGGATGTTCTTCACCATCTCCTTGCCAAGGTAATGGTCAATGCGGAAGAGCTCGTCCTCCTTCCAGTCGGGCTCGAGCGACTTTTGCAGCTCGCGAGAGCTGGCAAGATCCTTGCCGAAGGGCTTCTCGACCTGCAGACAGCAGTGTTAGGAGTGCATTACGGCTGCGTCAAGAAGGAATCGACTTACGACAACGCGGGCAATGCCCTTGCTGGGGTAGCAGCACTTCTTCAGGTGCTGGGACACGATGGTGAAGACGCTGGGGGGGAGAGCCATGTAGAAAAGACGATGGGTCTCGGGCTTGCCGGACTCGAGCTTCTCAAGATGGTCGTTCAGGGCGAGGAAGGACTCATCCTTGTCGTATTGGCCTGAGACGTATGTGCAGAGGTTGCAAAAGTCGTTCAGCTGCTGCTCAATCTCCTTGGTGGGGGTCTTCATGTAGGACCGGATGCGACGAATGTACTCGTCGTGCTCCATCTTGGTTCGCGCATATCCGACGATTTTGATATCTTTGGGCAGGAACTGGTTGCGGTACTAAATACTGGAGCTTAGCAAATGGCCGTCTCGAGGAATCCTTACTCCATGCAGTTGCTGTCGTCAATGCAACTGATACAAGGAGACGCAGTGGCACATACCAGACCGAAGAGCGCGGGGTACTAAGACAAGAAAGTCAGCAGATTGCGGGCGGAAATGAGGGGCACGCCGCAGCGGACGCTCATACCGTCTTCTTCTTGGCCAGATCGCCCGAGGCACCGAGGACGATAATGACGGTGTTGTCCTTCAGCTCCAGCGTCCTGTGAGGCGAATTGATGTCAGTCGACCTGTGCATGATGCTTTGGCGTGGTTCTGCAGCTCAGCACAGAGCTCTCGCGCGCCTGGTGGCGCGGACATGGGCGGCGAAGCTCCGAGAAGCAATGTTGGAGAGGTGCGGGCGGCTGGTGGGGTAAAAGAGCAGCGATGCGATACGTACGAAGCGGCGGATGTGAGTTCGGACATGATGGCGGCGGGTGAAGAGGTAGACTCTCGGAGGAGACAGGGGAGGATAGAATATGTCGCAAGAGGAACTGGTCGAGTGTCAAAAATTACCAGTTAGCCGGGAGGAAGAGGAAGAGCAAGAGGTCGAAAGGCGGAAGAAGGTTGGCGGAGGTGACGAAAGGTGAGGTAAGATAGGTAGGTCCGACCCCGACGGTATTTTAGTAATGACGCTTCGGCAGGCTCGCCTCACTGCAGTGACTGCACTGGGACTGGCCTGGGCCCGGCCTGGTTGGGGGGCAGGCGGCGTAACTGAGGGGTCTTTCCAGGGCAGTCAAACTGTCAACTGCCCCGCCGTCGCTTGTCGGCGGAGGCCCCCCCCCCCCCCCCCCAGGATGCTGGTTAACAGCACCGGCCGGACCACCACTCGCCCAAAATACTGGGGGGGTGGCTGGAGCTCGCCGTTCCAGCTGGCGGGGTTTAATTGGCAGCGACCCAGCGGCCATATTGGTCGGACGAGAGCTCGGAGGTGATGGGTGCAGTGGGCATGGGGGTGGAAATCCACGGGGGTCCAGGAACTCACTTTTCCGCAACTTCGTTCTGAGATGAGGTCGTTATCGCCGGCTTCGGACTGCGTTCAACCGGGCTAGCAAAAGAGGGGTCAAGGTCAGGGTTGAGCTTCGGTGGGAAAAAAAAATCCAGGAGAAGGGTGTGGTGACAAGAACAGGAGGGCAGATCGTGGGAGGCTCGTCGGTGTTGTATGCGCCCGAAGCCAGAACAGATGAGGGCCAGGGAGCGAGCAAGGAACAACTCCGCGGTCACCGGAGGGGGGGGGGAGCTATCGGTTCCAGCGGTGCGGGACTCGTCGATGCGACAGGTAGGAAACAGTGACGAAATTGCTTCTGGTCAGTGTCCTTGGTGGGGGTCCAGGTGAGGGGCTGGTGAGTTGTTGACTTTCGGCTTTAAGACCGAGAGCGGCGATCTCGGTCTGATTATAAACGTTGAGAGTGTGCACGCCGTGGATTACAGACGAACTGCCCCCGAGTACTCCGAAGCACAATGATCGCGATGGCACGTACAAAGGACTCCCTGTTGCATTTCGGTGCCCAAGAAGAGCCAAGGTGAAGCAGACAGGGAAGAATAGAAAAAGCGCCAGCAGGCGTATGACTTACGCTTGTGAACAGGCGGGTAGACACACGTCTGTGGACTGAGCACGGAGTCCGTTCGTTGATAGTAAGTCTCTCATTCACTGGATCAGAGATCAGGTTGCGCGAAGGAGGATGGGAAACCTGCTATTCTTGTATTCCTTGCTGTAGCTGTCGAATGTTCCTCTGCCCCCCATTCATCCCGCCGTCGGTAGACACAGGCCGCAGCGAGCGTTGCACCGTCGTAGAAATTGGTGAGCCTGGCCCCTCGGCCCCCCATCGTCCACAGCGAGGCCGGCCGCCTTTACACTCAACCTCTGGTATCCAATCGTCGAGTCGCGCTTCGAACCTCCCAATGCCAAAAAACCCCGCGCCCCTCCGGTTCAATTCGCGCAGACAGAGCACTCAGCCAAGCGTACTTGGTGGATGTCTGATATGAACTGGGCTGGGCCTATCTCTTCCACCACCGAAGACCTCCGTTTGAGATTCACCGTGGGTGAACCACGGCTGGCCAGTCTTCAGCCGGGGGCTCCAGCAACTTCGTGGAGTTTTGCACATCGGAGGCGCTTTTCTCTATACACGAGTTTCAAGATGCCATCAATTCGTCAACGATGACTGGAAAGGTAGCCGAGATGATGAATGACATCACTGATATGCCAAACGACCGGAATTGAAAATACCTTACCATCCAGGTACGCTGCCCCAGTAGTCGTAACCCAGAACGATACAAGACGGCTTTTCTTTTTTTCTTTTCGAAAGCACATTTTGAACACGGGGCGCCGGCCCCGCACGTAGCTTCATGACGATTTCGTGATAATGTGCATTGCAGAACCAGTTCGGACTTCGGTGGGGGTTGATCACACTACATGACCTGCCATGTTTCGTTTCGAAGCATCTCCGACGATCGAGAGCTGCAAGGCTGATGACTCCGGGCACTCTGACGCGCGATTGACGGACTTTCTCCAGGATAAAGTATCGGCATAGACAATGGCAGATCCACTCCCTTCGGCCAAATTGGGCGAGCGAGCCGCACCAGTCATGAGAAGGCCAAGCACGGGCCATTGGAAGCCGCAATAGTGACCTTACTCAACGCACCAGCCACATTTTCTGGATGGATTACTAAGACAGGCTGATAGACGATAAGCCTCGATCGAGGCCTTGAATTATTGAACAGGCGAAAACGCACAATCCCCGTCACCTGACCTAGGGCAACGCCTTCCCGAATCGAAAATTATTCCAGTGGACCTGCCACCACCGACCATCACGACCAGCGACTCAACGACTCACACGACAAATCGGCCGGCAACTAACCTTGGAGAATCGTCTTGCCGCGACAATTCTCTAACTTTCCTTACAACAGCACATACGTTGGAGTGAGGGAATACGACAAGATGCCTTCGGAGCAGGGACACAGACGTGAGTAGTCCCCCGCCAACTGGCGCATGCAGAGGATGCACTTTACGATCGCATCGCAGCCATGCAACGAGTTTGAATGAATCTTGGCTAACAGTGGTCCTGCAGTATACGTCAAGTGAGTATTACCATCTATCGCACTCAGGAGGATCGCATTGCGCAACTCGAATCACGAACATGAACCGAACACGACACACAACCCAATCCCGACCGACCGAGCGAATCTTGTGCACACACAGCGAAGCGATGGGACGAGCATGAGCAGGAGGCTGACTTGAGGAAATAGGGGACGTCACCTGTCCTACCAGCGTAGCCGCCACGTCACGCACTCCGAGACCAGCCTGATCAAGATCGAGGGCGTTGACAACACCGACGCTGCCAAGTAGGCCAAACCCACCCTCCCCATTGACGATCACCAAGGCACTGTTTGCTGACCCTCGAACAGCTTCTACCTCGGCAAGAAGGTCGCCTACGTCTACAAGGCCCAGAAGGAGATCCGCGGCTCTCGGATCCGTGTCATCTGGGGCAAGGTTACCCGTCCCCACGGTAAATACACCTCCCGAGCAGTTTCCCCCGTCTCACGACGTAGTCCACTGACGCTGTCAACAGGCAACTCTGGTGTCGTCCGCGCCAAGTTCCGCCACCCCCTGCCCGCCAAGTCCTTCGGTGCGTCGGTTCGTGTGATGCTTTACCCCTCCTCGATATAAGAGGGTTTCTCGTCTCGGATGGAGTTGGTAGTGAGGATGGTTTCTGAATTGGCTGCATTGGCCATGGTCATGGTCAAGGATCAGAGCATAGCCTTGGGCTCAAGGCTCCCCAAATGAAACTCGTCAAACACAAAATCCCGCTCAAGCCGCGAACAAAGTTCCCACCGCAGCCAACGAAAGAAACTTGTCGAAACGTTCTCTTGAAGGCTTTCCCCCCCTACGAGACCCAACAAAGAACGAAAGAGAAAGATGAATTGGCAAATCCCCCGCGTGATCTCGGTCCCCGCGTGAGAGAAAAGCAAGCAGCCGACTGGAATTATGAATTGGGAGAGACCACAAAAAAACAACACACTTGCATGAGAGGAGCCGACGGCGACGACACGATTTGGAGAGCGCTTGGGAAGGGGGGAGGGTACGGAGTTTCGGACACCGCCAACCTCTCTCTCTTCCTTTCTCTCCTCTGTCAATGACTTCGGTAATGGGATGGGTTAGACCGGCACTTTTTGTTGTCAGGATGCGTCGCATTTTGCGGCGTTATAAACATGATGATTTCTCGCGCCCACGCCTTGAACCGAAAGCCCATCACCGCCATCCTCAGTCTTGACCGGACCTGTGCCCACCCTCCGTTCTATGTGCTGTCTTGAACCACCTATTGTTACCAAGTCTGATGTCACTCCATGCCATATCGCTGGTCCAAGTGGGCGGTACAACATCACGTACACTAACGGCTCGCATGGTCTGAAGGCATATGCTCTATCTCTTGCCGTACTGCCGATGCTTTCAAGTCAGGCCGGTTCTTCTATCGACGCCGCGGATCGTATTGCCCAAATGGCACTCGCTGTTGGTTTCAATATGCTCCATGATACCTTTCGCCGAGGCACATAGATCTCAGCAGACGTAGCCCATAAGAGTGTGATTCAAATCACAGACGAGAAGCCCATCCCTTGAGGCGATCACGCCCGCTCATGTCACAAGTTTGTTGGTGGAAACATCCACCATACATCCTCACCATGCACGCTGTGGCATCATGCAGGGTCAAAGCCGCACCCGGCAGCAACTCCGTTCTCGTCGATGCCTAATTGCAAGCCGATCTGTGCATGGTCTCAGTCGCGTCGTTCTACCTGCTGGTGATTTGAGTGCGGACGACACATTTCGGCGTTATTAGAGGTACCACGACATCAGTCCAAGATATATGAGGTTGGTCGGGGACGTTCTGGCACCATTAAAGAAGCAACCAGCCCTTTACTGACAAGCCACTGTTATGAGCTAATGCCAGTTCACATTCAATCTTGCGCCCCGGAGCAGCCTCGATTACTCCGAGGAGGGCAGTGATACGACGCCGGATAACCTCAGCGGACAATGAATAGTACCTCTGCCTGTAATCAAAGAACTGTTGACTAGGCGTAACGTAATCGAGCACCTGATATCATGCTGTTTTGAAGAGCCTACAGAATGTGGAGTTGCTGCTCTTGCTTGATATATGCGCGGATGTCTGGCGGTTGCGGCGGCAGCCAACGCGGTGTTCGCGAAGGTATATACATGCACAGTCAAGATCGGACACTCGCGATCAACAACGGCAGCTCAGCAGCTTGCAGCTGGCTATTGATCGATGCCATCGCTGGTGGTTGTCCCTTTGCAAGACGGTTTAGTTGATTGTGACCATGTCGTGATACAACGTTGAAACCCCCCACCCCAAATTTCCGGCTGCTAGTGGGCTGAGACATTGGTGCTTAGACATAGAGTGCCAAAGCTATTGAATGTTGATCACAGTGCTTTCTGGCAGCGCTGTTGATGGTGCTGGGCGTCTGCGCATGGAACAAGAGTCGATAGACAAGGGCTCGAGGTGATGCCGGATGTATCGGACATGCGGTGAGGGCGATCGGGGAACGTTCCGGGAATGCCGTGTGTAATTCGATGATTGCTTGACCTGCTGGCATGCGTTCCTTACCAACATGTCACGAGCTGGACAACCAAGTCACTGTTGATGTTGATCACAGTTCCAGCGTCAGGTCAAATTCGATAGCCTTGCTCGGAATTGAGACTCGTGAGGTCGATACAGAGGAAGCTGAAGGTGGCGGGAACTGGGTGCGTCTTGTGGGCGAAGCTACAGGAACTCAAGGGAAGAAACTTCAAGCTAGAGTGCTGGCCTGTGGCCCAACAAACAAAACCACCCACTCAGAACGAAACAAGCTCATGGAGGACGATCCGACAGGTACCTTAAGTCAATGCACCACAGTGTCTCCACGCTGCCAAATGTTAGGTTGCCGCCATCAGGAAAGGCGCCATCTGGGGTTGGGACTTCTGGCGCTGAAAGAGGCTGCAGCTAACCGGTCAGTATCGCATGCTTTTTCGTTCATCCTGGTGCAAGTCCGAACGAGCCGGCGACGATGGCAAGCTGTGTCTCGTATGCTGGCAGGCAGGTATGCCACGACGCAGGCAGGACCAGGGGGCCTGGTAGCTCGAACCACGATGGCTGGCGCCGATGTTGATGTGCCCCTCACTTGCAGCTCGAGAGGGGGAGATTCTCGGCATTCAGTCTGAGAAGGTCAAGGTGTGGAAGCCGTGGGATTCCGCAGAGGCAGAAGCAACCGATGGTGCTCATCCAGGGGAAGCGTCATTTCGTATTCTCTGTAGCATAGCCCCTCGATTGGCTCAATCGTTCGGTCAACCCGCCGGCCACAAGATCCAGCAGAGTAGCAGTACGTGGTCGATGATGAGGGCCGTCGTCAGAAGTGCCCCAGGATACGTCAAGAAGGTCGATCGGTGCAAGATCAGCGCCGTAGGCCCAGGTACCATGTACCCCCAAGCCCTGGTGTGTTGGGACAACTTTGGGAGTTGGGATGTGCTGGACAGGGCCGTCGACTACGACGCTGGTAAGGTTCGCACCATGACAATTGAGATGGGTCCGGGCCCAGCGGAGGAAAGAACCTGCCAGAGCCCGACGAGGGGCCGGAACGCGTAATCACAATGCTCTTCAGAACGGTCGACTGGACTGATAACCCATGGGCAGATTGTGAGACGATTCCGCCGTCTTTGAGGTCGGCGCAGCATGGGATGCCCGATTTCAGAAGACTTTGGGAGGGGACGGGGCAGGCTAGTCCCATGCAGGCTGGCGTAGCCACTGGCGGCAGGGCACCACGCCGCAGCTTTGCGCGGCCTCATGGATGGTTGGTCTCAACCTGGCGAGGTGGTGTGTCGTGTAAGCATTCTTCGTGTCAATTGCCCTGCCTCGCAGCTCGTATAGATAGAAACCCACCACCGCCGGACTTCGCTTGAACATGACTCCTTTCTTGGCTTGATCCGATTCCTGATCTGTTTTGCCTCACGTGAACTCTCACTATCAGCATCGTGAGATCCCGCCTCATCAGCAACTCCCACACAGTCGGGAAAAGAAAAAAGGACCACAGTCACTCGTTTTGTCTCGCCGCACCGCCTTCAATCGAGTGGTGACCCACCAAAGACCGACAGACAGCCGCCGTGCTACAGGACCACGAGGGACCAACCAGTCAGCATCAGCCTGCGCAGTTACGCAGACACGTCCGGCACTTGTGTGAAGCCAGCCCTTCGGACTCACAGTGCCTGAGCCGTTATCGTCGCCGTCGCTCACTTGAACGCTTCGGCCAGCGGCGTCAACGGCATTGCCGGACCTTTTGCACAATAGTGTGGTGCCTAAGACAACAACGACAGAAAGCGTCAATAGGGTCGACGAGAACAGAAGACGACTGATTTGCACACATTCCGAGGTGCTAAGAAGCCGGCCAGACGCTGAAACACCACGCGGGACGTCAGGAGCTGCTGCAGCGGTGGTTCACTGTCAGTACAAGACACATTCCAGACACAGGGACACACCTCAGCAACGCAATTGTGAAGAGCTACGCTTCCGTCAAAGACAAGTCCCGTGCTCAGCCGTTGAGGAGCAGTCTCCCCAGACGCCATCAGAGGGGTTTCGGAAGTTGTTGAAACATTTTATTCTTCCCCATCCCGTTCTGGTGGGATACTCCCGCTGTCGATCTGCGAACGCAAACCACAAACAGCAATCCAGACCACGATTGGCGGGTGACTGCAAACAACAGGCGAAAAGTCTTGGACGAAAGAAAGCAGCAGAACGACAGGACAAAGTGACAAGGAACGGAGTGTGGTCAATTGAGACGAAAATTTCGACTGTCCACGGAACAAAGATCCAAGCGCAAACAACAAGACAGGAAGCGATATCCTGTAACAGCAGCAAGGGCAGCCGAGCATTGTGGAGCGGAACGTGCCCCCCTTCCTTCGATCACACTTTCATCATCATCATCGTCGGAGGGAAAAAAAAATCGCGACCGATTTTCGGGTTGCTAGCACAACGCGCCAGAAAGACCATCATCCACTGGACGACGAAGACGACGACCAAGACCAAGACCAACAACCAAAGCGCGGCCACTTGGACTCCGATCCGCCGCTAGCAGGTACAGGGACCCCCCCCTGCATGCAGATTTTACGACCTGGCACGTTAGCGGCCTCCACTTCCAGGCACCTTGGTTCGAACCAGAAGCAAAAGAGCAATCGCCATCTGTGTCGCCATCGACTTTGGGGCGCGATTGTGCCTGCAATTGCCTACGAGAGCCAGCCGCGCTGCCACGTCTGAATCCACATCCTGGGTCCTGAGCCACGAATCCACACCACCCACAGAGCCCAGCAGGAGCAAGGTTCTCAGAAGCCTTGGCACCTTTGTCGGTACCGGCACGCAACATTCATTCTCTCGTTGCCTGGCCGCACCTGCCCACCCCCCACCACCACCACCATCCTACCGCTTCCAGCAACAGGCACTCCACCTTCCAAGCCGCAAAGGTCGAACGAGGTGGACGCTCTCCGGACTCGAGCGCTCTAGGTATCCAGGTACCCAAGTCTCCAGGTACCCAAGTCTCCAGGTACCCAAGTCTCCAGGTACCTCAGCAACCGCCCACCACCCCCCCAAGAGCCCCCCCCAACCACCTCAACCGGCAACAAGAGAGACACGGGCGCCTTCCCTGATTCTGCGTGCACCTGCGACAAAGCAGTTCAGTCCCATACCACACGATTGTCCATTACCGTCCGTCTCACCTCACCTCGCTTTTTTTTTCTCTTCACTTTCACCACCTACATCATCTGCCTGCCCCTCCATTCAAAGCAAAGCCCACACCTTCGCGACCCGCGCATCTCCGAACTGCTGTCGCGTCCATTCGCTTGCTCTCCCCGTGGCCAGGATCTTTCTCTTAAAGTGGACTTGTTCTTCTTTTTCCATCCTCTCGAAAAGGATTAGACGCACATCTTGCCTGTACGGTACCTACACTACCCACGCAAGCACGATCCTCGCCGACACCCACACCTCCACTTGACGCCCGCGATACGACGCCCGTCCCTGGCAATCACCCTCGCTAGCCCTGTGTTGGAACCGCCATTGCGTACCCTGGACCCGGACGATACCCAGTATCGCCTCCTTTCGCTTTCTCGATACCAAATCTGCTACCAATTCCCGATCCAAGCTCCTGCGCCGAGACTTTGACCGGTCCGCTACGACTCCAGTCTTCCTCTCCAGCCAAGCACACAGGGATAGTCCACCACCCCCCCCCGTTTAATCACAAGGAGCACCGTCGCTCCCCCCCTGTCCGAAACCATGGCCGACCTGCACCAAGATAGTCGTCATCCCCTTCCGCCTCCTCCTCCCTCGCACGAACATTACTCTCACCAAGACACCTCCTACGACTACACCCACCAGCAGCAGCAGCAGGGCCAGCAGCAGCAGCCTCATCAGCAGCCACCTCGACAGCCCCAGCAGTACCAGCAGCAGCAGCTACAGCAGCTTCAGCAGCAAATTCGACAGCCGCCCGCTGCCCAAATAGCCCACCAACAGAAGCCCTCGAAATCTAGGACATTCAGCTTCGGGTCCGGCAAATCGCGACGGAGCTCGACGAGCCACCCAAAGCACGACGACACGCATGAGACATCGGCAGAGAAAGAATCCCATCGTTTACACAGCAAAGCCGACCCCACCATGGCCATCAGCGAAGCCGAGCCAGGTGAGCCCGATTCCGTGGCAGGCCATTGATCACCCTTGCTTAATGCTAATTCATCAACAGCGGCCGTACAGGCAATGACCAAATCCTCTCTGGCACCTCTTCGTGCCATCCAGCACAGAGACTCCTTTGGCAACGCAATCGGTGAGCCACCCGCCCGGGTCGATCAACCCAAGACAGCAAGCTAACACCACGCCAGCCGACCCCGACCGTTCGAACCCCACGCGCAGCCGCTGGGAGCGGCCTCTGGATACTATCCGTAGCTTTGAGGCGGCAATTGACGGAGGCTACTCGCGCAAGTCCATCATACGATCAGGTACGTCAGGTCACGGCCCTGTCTTAAATGGATTTCATGTCCTAACTCGCCATGACGTAGACACCGAATCAACCCCGCAAAACGGTCGGCGGAGCAGTTATTATGCTGGCAGTACGTGTTTCACATGGTCCTGCAGGAGGACGATTTTCGTGCTAACACCAATCCAGACAACGGTGCTCGATACCCCCAGGACAGCTACTATGGTGGACGTCCCAACTCTGTGCGGCCTGAGAGTACGCACATGGACTACAACAGCCCCAACCGCTCCGGCTATTTCGATGGTGGCTCGTACGGCCAGGGTGGATACGGGCCCGGGCCCAGCCGTCAGAGGGCACCGAGAATGAACTCTGAACCCATGAACGGCTATGGCCGTGGCGGGCAACAAGTCTACCCGATCCCCCACAAGGACCGCTCATACGAAACCGTCACAACAGCAGCAGGCAGTGGTCACTCCGAACAGGCCGGTTACCAGACGGACCCGACAAGCAGTGACAACAGCTCCATTGATCGGGTGTCGCCTGCGAAGCGTGCGGAGCCGACTAACGACTATGGCATCGGCTTCAACCAACAAGGCGCATATCAGCCTGCCGCCTTTAATAATTACGCTTCGGGCGCGAACGGTGCTGGCCCCAGCGGCGCCAACTACCGCCCCGCCCCCATGACGAACCTGAACTCGGCTGCGCCGCCCGCCCCGCCCCAAAAGCTGGGAGGCGGCATGTTGCGCAAGCAGACCACTCAGCAAAGCACACAATCACGACCAGACGTTGGCGAAAAGAGAAAGAGTTGGTTCTCGCGCCGCTTCAGTAAGGCCAATTAAGCCTAGAAGGGGGCGAGCTCTGAGCCGTACGCCAGAGGCCATGAGCTACGGGCCACGGGCCCGTGGGGCCAAGTGGTGATGACTTTTTCTTTGTGGATACCCTAGTTTCTCTACATATCGAACACGACGAGCTGGGCGCGCGGCTGTTCAGGAGCCGGGGAGTGGGTTGTGAGTACATACATATATGGCTCTGTGCGAGTCTGGAGTTCGGGCGCCTCTCGTTTGGCAGGGGAAAGGGGCAAATTCTCGACATGCGAAAGTATGATTGGTCGGGGGCTAGTGATGGACGATAATTGACCCTCTTCGCCTTGTTTCTCGAGTTCGTGTCGCACTGGAGAAATAGAGTAATGGCCTTGAATGCTCGGAACCTGGGGCTAGATCAATTGAGTCAAAATCGTTTTCAATGAGATTCGTGGCCGATTTTTTTATGAACCATGGAACATTGACGGTATAGCACAGAACCACCTTGGGTACTGCTTTATTATGCTACGACCGGCTAGCGAAATGGAGTGAATGAAACAAGAAGAGCCTGCTCAGCGGTCCTTCTTGCCATCTCCCTTTGTTTTCTTCTCGTCCTGCTCCGTCTGATCTTCCTTCATGGCAACAACTATGTACGCAATGAGCACCACATTGGCCATGACGGCGGCAAACGCGCCAGCAAAGGTGGAATTTCCTGCCAAGAAAGTCAGATGATCGATGGAGCAGACGGAGAAGAGAGGTGGGCAAGAGCGCACCTTTGAAAACCGTGCTGACTGTGACGAAATAGGAGCCGATGGGGAAAACGATCATGGCGAAGGTGAACCCTAGGAGCTTCACAATGACATCGGTGGGGACGGCGGGTGCGATGTTGGACTTTTCAGCCGGAGCGCTGTTAGGCTCATCCCGGTCGAGGATGGTCTTTTCCGTGGAGATGATACGTCGGGTCGCCATGTTGAGTGAGGAGCGAGGAGGATGAGTTAACGTGGCGAAGAAAACCGGTTGAGGCGGGTGCGGTGCTACGAATGAACAAAAGGTTAGTGCGGTCACCCGAGACCGAAAGCAAGTTCTCACATGGTATTCTGTACAGTCGCACTGCTCAAAGTTCCTTGTGTTGTCGGTCAAGGTGATGAGGTTTGGGTTCAGAATGATGGTGAAGATGAAGCTCATGACAGTTCATAGAGAGTCCTGAGATGGACTGTGCCACCCGCCTCGCACTGTAGACGTCCCGTTAATTGAAATGACGTGGATCACGTGCTAGCGCGCGCCAGGACCCCCCCTCCCTCTTCGACGCGTCTCTTGCCGTTCTATGTCAGTCCCGGTTCCTGAAATTCTCTTTGCACAGGAAGAGCTCCTCCCTGTACGCTCTACCCGCCCTTTCCAAGAACAATAGGCCTTTGCTTTCGGTCCTTCCTTTGACGACCCTCTGAATAGGGTCGAAGCCCTCCAGTTCATTTATCCCCGATCTTCGCTCGTACCGCACCGCATCGTCTTTGGATAGTTTCTCCAATTCCTCTCCATCTCTTTTTTCCTTTGCATCCACATCGTGAGCCGATCACCTCGAAACCTCACTCGGGATCCACACCGATACCACAGATCGAAAACGTTTACAACACACAGCGACATAACTTCACAATGGCCGGCCTAGCAGCTGGTTTCAGCTCTTCGCCTCCTGGCCGGGGCTTCGACGGCGACGACGACGACGACGAGCTGGCCCGCGACACGATTCCCTGCTCACCCTACGCTACGCAAGCAACCCAGGTGATCAATCGAACATCCCTGCTTCCCAAACACACTGAGGCGCCCTCATCGCCTCTTGCATCGAGCGTCGTCGAGGTCCCCGCGTCTTCTCCCTTCCAGCCGAAGCCTTCCAAGGCGCCATTTGCGACTCGCCTCGCGCCTGCGGGCACGCTCTTTCGGCCTCCTCCCCAACTGCCGCGGGGCATTAAACGTCCAGCTGCCGAACCGATCATGATATCGTCCGATGACGAGAAGAGCCCTTCGAGGGGCGACATCCAGCCGACAGCCTTCAAGAAGCGCATGACCGCCTTTCACTACGAACCGACGGAAAGGATCGACAAGCTGGAGAAGATGACGGCCTTGACGGAGCAGGTTTCTACCGCAACTGGTCAGAGCTTCCCGTCTCGCGCTTGTCGCGAGGCTCTCATGGCTTGCCATAATAACGTTTCTGATGCAGTGAACTACCTCTACGAAGGCAAGCACCTGCAGAAGGAAAAGAAGCACGGAGCCACCTCGGCGCCGCTGTCTGCCGCCTCGACGAACCCGCTCAAGTCGAAGCCGTCGCTCGCTGCTAAGGGCAACGGTGCCGACTTCTACCAGACGCCGAACCTCAGCCCTCGAACACCGAGCCCGGCGAAGCAGGCGAAGCCTCGACGACGTCTCGTGCAGGGCCGTCGCCCGAACCGATCGCCCTCGCCCCCGACGTCGCAACCAGTGCAGGAGGCGCGGGAGGTCATCAATGTGGACGATGAAGTGGATGAGATTGCCGAGGACAGGATTGTCATTGCAGATGACAAGGACGACGACTACGACAACGAGGACGACGTGATGGAGGCCACCGTCAAGGAGAGCCTCTATGACAAGGCTCTTAACACCATCAACAATAGTTCGATCGACGATCTCTCGGCCATGACCAACCTCAAGCAGGACGAACTACAAATTATCGCCACGAAACGCCCTTTCCACGACATTGACCAGGTCGAGCGGGTCACGGCGGCCAAAAAGTCCAACGGGCGCAAGTCAAACAAGGCGGCCATTGGCGAACTCCTCGTTGAGGCCATCATGGAGTTCACTAAGGCGGTCAACGCAATCGACACCGTCGTCGCTGAGTGTGAGAAGAAGGCTGTCCGGGTGAAGAGTGAGATGAGTATGTGGGACATCGACTTGAAAGGCCACGCACGAAGTGGAACAACTTCGCAGACAGACAGCGACGACCTTCCCATGACGCCCAACAGCTCCAAGGGTCAGAAGTACGCGCCACCACCGATCCCTCGCCAGCCGGCCTTGTTGGAAGGCCACTGCACTATGCGCCCTTTCCAGCTGTACGGCCTCAATTGGATGTCAGTTTTGTACAACAGCGGCTATGGATGCATCCTGGCCGATGAGATGGGCCTGGGCAAGACGTGCCAGGTCATCTCCCTCATGGCCCACCTTGTCGAGAGTTATGACGAGGAGAAGGACGAGAAGCGGCCGTGGCCGAATCTGATTGTCGTCCCACCTTCCACGCTGTCCAACTGGGAGGTTGAGTTTGAAAAGTTTGCCCCCGACCTGTCCGTCTTGACGTACAAGGGCTCGCAGTCTGATCGCGCCATGATCGCCGAAGACATGTTAAGCGCACCCGAGGAGTATCACGTCGTTCTCACGAGCTACACACAGGTCGGCAAGGAAGAAGACATCGACGCCCTCATGGAGCTACGTCCCAATGCCGCCATCTTCGACGAGGGTCACAAGATGAAGAACCCCAAGACGAAGATCTACAAAGACCTCATCCGCATCAAGGCGGACTGGCGCATGCTCCTCACGGGCACGCCTGTGCAGAACAACCTCATGGAGATGCTGTCGCTTCTCAACTTTATCGACCCCAAGATGTTCAAGGGCCACATGGAACACCTGCAATACATGTTCAGCCAGAAGGTCACGACGAGGGACGTGAACAACGGGGCTTTCCTGTACAGCGAGCGTGTCAGCCGGGCCCGGACGATCCTCGAGCCGTTCATCCTGCAGCGGCGCAAGCAGCAGGTTCTGTCGGACATGCCGAACAAGACGTGCAACGTCGACTACTGCGAGCTGCCGCCCTCGCAGAAGGCGCTGTACGATGAGCTCGAGACCATGTTCAAGTCGGGGCCGGTGGGCAAGAGCAAGACGGCCAACGTGCGGCAGAACGACGTCAACAACATTTGGATGCAGTTGCGCAAGGCGGCGATCCACCCGCAGCTGTTCCGACGGCACTTTGACGACAAGAAGGTGGAGAAGATGGCGGGGGTGCTGATGCGCAAGGTGCCGCAGTCGGAGCTGCAGCAGCCGAACATGGAGCACCTCATCGGGGAGCTGAAGAACTGCTCGGACTTTGAGCTGCACCTGTGGTGCCGCGACTACAAGTGCCTCGAGGGCTTCGACCTGCCAGAGGGCTCGTGGATGGAGAGCGGCAAGGTGACCAAGATGCTGGAGCTCATCCACCAGTACCAGGCGAACGGGGACCGCGTGCTCGTGTTCAGCAAGTTCGCCAAGGTGATTGAGATTCTGCGCGAGGTGCTGCACACGGACGGGATCAAGCACTGCGTGCTGTACGGCGCGACGTCGGTCGAGGAGCGGCAGGGGCTCATCAACGAGTTCAACGAGAACACGGACATTCCCGTGTTCCTGCTGACGACGGGGGCGGGCGGCACGGGCATCAACCTGACGTCGGCCAACAAGGTCATCATCTTTGACCAGTCGGACAATCCGCAGGACGACATCCAGGCGGAGAACCGCGCGCACCGACTGGGCCAGACGCGGGATGTCGAGGTGATCCGGCTGCTGACGAGGCGGACGATCGAGGAGCTCATCTTCAAGGCGTGCGAGAAGAAGATTGAGCTGGCGAACAAGGTGACGGGGGCGGTGGAGGACCTGGGGACGAACGCCGAGATCAACCTCGAGAAGGAGGTGCGCAGGATGCTGGCGGACCAGCTGACGCCGCCATGAGGAGGAGGCTGGGTCCGCCTGGCGTGCTTCGGAGCGAGCGGTGGTTCACGACTTTGATGACAAGGCGCATGGAGCGAGCGGCGTGTTATATTTTGCTTTGCTGCTCCGTTGGCACAGCCGGGGCTGAGAGTGACTGGAGGTATCATGTGCATATTTTGGCATGGAGGGCGAGGAGAGAGACGGTCACACGCACGTGGAGAGGGGTGTCGCCGTGTAGAGACAGACACCTGGATGGCCTCAGGGCCAGTGATGGATGAATAACCATGGCAACTAGTTGGATGAGTAGAACTTGTCACCGTCAACCTCTAGATTACGTGAGGTCGTGAACTAGATAAGGAATCAACGGCACGTCGTCGTTTGAACAGGACGCCAAGGCATATGTTCTCGTGAGGCGCACCACGTTTGGCAAGCTGTGTGTTTGGTTGGCCTTGCATGTCGTGCTCTGGTGAACGGAGGCGTCATTGGTCGTGCCAGCCCGGCGCCGGGGCGAATGAGGTCTTCCGAGTGACATGGTATCTGTATCGATGAGTCCCCCCCATTACGTCACGATAGCCTTGCTCTGCATCAGCCTTGGCGCTGTTCTCCAGAGCCCCCCCTCCCTGTATCTCCTCTCTCTCTGTCTTGACTTCTCTTAGTCTGGCGTGCGACGTTGCAATAGGCGTCAGGGCCAATTTGTTGCTTCTCCGAGCCGGAGCAGCACCGTGACAAGTGGGACGAGTCCCGGCATTCGTTTCTTTCGTGGTGGGTTGGTGGGTGCGGCGCGATAGAGGGGCGCCAGCTGGTGTCACCAAATTCAGGTACGTAACCGCGCAGAGAGGCCGGTGAGTGGATGGACGGCCTGGTGGACATCCCGCATCGACCCGTGGCAGCGGGCGCTGATAACCCTTTTCTTGGATTCCCTTTTCTTTGGGGGAGGGGGGGGGGGGGGGGGCGTCTGCGCGCTACTGGGATGCTGTGTGGCTGTTCTGTCGTCCTTGGATCTAGATGGACTTGGCCAGCGTTCATCTGCCTGTGGCCTGTTTCGTCGGGCTGTGGCACACACACGTATCGCAGAGAGAAAAAAGTGACGTCTTTTCCTCGTGGCTTGACCTGCGGCTTGTTCTTAAGAAGCCTGTCCGCGCCCAGTCCCGCGAGGCTCCCCCCCCCATCTGCTTCGCGTCCTTCCTGCTCATCACGACCACCTGTTGCCCCGCGATACATCACTGAGCCCCCCTTGAAGCGACGACCCTTTCCTGCGAGCCAACGACTCGAACGAAGTAAAAAAACAGACAGAAAAGCACGCTACGCACGCACGCGCAATGCCTTCCGCAGCAGCTGGCGAGGTCTCCCACGGCCGTGGCGGCGCCGGCAACATCCACGCCGACCAGACAAAGTACGTCGACGGCGCCGTCGTGCGGACCGGACCTGAGGGCAGCCACAATGACGGCGCGTACAGCGTCGGACGCGGTGGTGAGTTTCCTTGACTTCCTTCTCCTTCTCTTTCTCGCCGTTTCACGATCCCCCTCCGCCCTGGCTCGGGCGCTGTCTCTGTCGTCGCACGGCGGATACCTACCAGGTTCGCGAGACATACCAGGTTCGCGAGACCAAGAACATGGCTCTTATCTCTATGCTCAACCCATTTGTCCCCTCTTCCCGATCGAGAACCATGGCGAATGCAGTGGCGTTGATAAGGTCGAGCGAAGACGGACAGGGGACCGGGATGTCCATGGTACAGGGGGGGGGGGGGAGGTAGGCCCCACGCTTGGCTGGGCGCGGCGGCGGCGGGAGCTCGTCCGTCGGCAACGGGTCTAGCGTCGCGCAGGCCTGTCTTGACCGACGACGCACCGACTCACCGACTCCCCCAGCGCATCGTGCCCGAGCCTGTCTGTCGACTTGCAGAGAGAAGATGGGGCAAGCTGAACCCAACACTCGGGGCAAGGGACAGCAAGGTGATGGGGGAGGGGGAAAGGAGAAGGAGAGAAAGGAGAAGGAGAAGCCAAAGAATACTGTAAACTTTGCCGAAAAGACAAACTGACAGCTCGCAGGCGCCGGAAACATTGGCGACGTCGGCACCAAGACGTCCGTCGAGGGCCGCGCCGACAAGGACGTCATCCCGACCGAGGCCTACCGACAGTCGGGCGACGGCGGCGACTTCCACACCGGCCGCGGCGGCGCCGGCAACGCCTACGAGGCCTCGTCGGCGCGGAACGACGGTGACATGGACGGCAAGGCTGCGAGCGCCGCCGACCGGGCTTCTGGCGGACCTGTCGGGCTCGCGGACAAGCTGAAGAACAAGCTGTTTGGCAAGAAGTGAGACTGCTTGTGATTTGGCCGCAGGACTGGGAGCAGGCAAGGGCTGTGCGGACGAGTGACGGACAGACAGGATTTTGATACCACAGGGGGGGGGGGGGGTGCGTGCCATGATGTGCTTATGTTGACGAGATGGAGGCACGGGATGGAGGACTCCTTATTTGCTACAATTACCCTTCTCTACACCCCTTTGATGTGGACGATATGGCGTTACACCCATCATCCAAGCAATGAGGAATTTTGCAGATCGACACCACTTGCAACACTGTCATCATCTCAAGCATGCCGTGCCGATCTTCGCAATGACACCCAAAAAAAAAAAAAGAGTGCAACCATCAAGTCAAACAGGCAGGACGATCACTTGCATCTGACACTGGCTCATATGACACCTTTGCCTCGAGATTCCGACTTGCCCCCCGCCGCCCGACCATTCACAGCATCTCACATCTGCCGCGATTCAGCAGCTGCAGTCCCGGAGCCCCCCCTCGGCCCCCGCCCTCGACAGCTCGATCGACACCTACAGATCGTCGAGAAGGGTCCACTGTGCAATGTGCTGACAGACCCAGAGCACAGCCATCGTTTGGCTGGCTTTGCCGTCCAGCGGGGGCCACCAGCCTGACGCTCGTTGCCCCATCGGGTGCCATCTTGCAGCAACCTTTTTCGTGAGGATGGAGCATACATATAGGGGTCCTGTCCAGTCTTGCCGGGGTGTGCGGCGCGCGGCATTGGGCTGCAACAGACAGAGTACACCCCTTCACCGTTCACCGTTGGATTTTGACCCCGTTCCCACCGTTGGGTTATTGCAAGCCTTGGCGCCGGGGGTACACGAGGCTGCACAGGGCGCCAGAAGCAGGCCAGCTGGCGCGCAAGCTAGGTTGAGCAGCTGGCTGGGCAGGCCAATATCTCCACGGCTCGCCCCAGCGCAACACAGTACACGTAGACGGCATAGTGATAGCGTAAGCGCCAAGCAGGTAGGTCAGCGTTCAGATTTCTTCCACCGGCGGTTCGCATCCTCGCAAGGTCATGTGTCGGAGAGCCAGACAGCCGAGAGACAGCCCGGCAAGCGGCAGGCGGCACGCTGGGCACCTGAAGGGGAGGTGGAGGGGGAGGGGGCAAGGGATGGGGGGGGGGGGGGGGGGGTACGGATGATCAGCCTTGCCATGTTTCTGTTTCCCGCAGCCCGGCGAAACAAGAGTTGACAAAAACGGGTTTCTTGCTGCCCATCTGCCCATGAATTTTAATCCGACCCTGGCAATACTACCTGGTAGGCGCACGGCATTCACTCTCAGCTGCTGTCTTCCTCTTTCAATGATGAGATCCCAACGCCGAGCTGCCTGTGAGCGGCGGCTCCACGGGCTAGCGCAAAACCAGCACACCCCTTCTGGCGAGGTTTCGCCCCATGAGAGAACGGGACACTCTGGCCGCCCCTAAGGGAACAGGAAGGCGATCCTCGAGATCCGCATTGTTTTGGCGCTCTGGGGCGCATCTCCATGGTGCTGTGCTTTCGTTGCGTCGCCTCTCGCTTTTCGGGTGGTGGAGGGCCGTATGCGAAGATTGTTGGCCAGTTGGGCAGCTCGAGCAGGAAACCCAAGCGGGGATGCCGCAGCAGGGATCCCACCTGGCAGGCATGGCAGGCATGGCATCCATGGGGTTGATGGCATACGATGGGAGAGAGAAGGGGAGGAAGCCTTGCATCGCCGTGCCATGCCTTTCCTAGCTCGTTTCCTGCCATGGCGGGTTCGCTGGTGCATGTTTGGTCAAACCGGCAGAGGGTCGGTCGGTCAGTCGTGGGCGAAGCACGAGCACCATCATGCCCAGTGTGGAAATGGTCGAAAACTCGAAGGAACCCCAGACGTGGCCTGTCGTGCGCGTCGCTTCTTGTCGTTCAAATGCACAGCGGAGTCCATGTTCTCTCCCCGTTTGCTTGGTTGTCTTCTCACCCTCTCTCTCTTTCTCACCCTCTCTCTCTTTCTCTCCCTCTCTCTCTCTCTCTCCTCCCCCCTTCGTTGCTACTGCCTCAGTCTTCTCCCAGACTTCCGTATTCTCCTTCCTCCTCCTCCTCCTGCTCCTTCCCTCTCCCCCCTCAACCCCTTCCCCTCTTGGTCTTGGTGCTGTATACGACCCGCACCTTCCCTACCTACCTTACCTCCCGCCCGTCACCTGCCGCCTGCCGCCTGCCGCCTGTGTGGCTGCCCCCGAAGAAACCGCCGAGTGGCTCATTCTGTGGCGCGTCTAGGGGACCTGCTGCCCCGAGAACTAAGGCACAGCAGCCGAGCCCAGGCCGTCGTGCCCTCTCCACCCCCCATTCCAGGCGGCCTGCACCTGCTCTAGTGGTTCGACCCGGCTGAAACAGGCCGGTCAGCCGTGCCCCCCCTCCCCGTCCACTTCCCCCGTTCAGGCGACCTTTTGCCCATTCAGGGTACCTGGCTTGAGGTACCTGACTTGCCTGGCCTCACTGAGAGTCACGCCCCCGAACCAGGCTGTCACGGGCTCCCGTCTCCCCTGAAAGGGACACGGGGGACAGCTATCACTTGTCATGGTCCCGCGCCAGGACAACCATGCCCGTCCACCACCCGCCCCTCGTCTCTGGTCGCGCCTGTCCAACTTCTCCAAGAAGTCCTTCATCTCCTTCTCCTCGTCCTTCGAAGCTGACGACGAGCGCTCCGAATCCGAGGAGGACGACGACGACTACGACTACCACCATCGCCAGCTTTTGTTTCCCGCCATGTCCGGCCGCAACGGGGACCGCCGTTATGGGCGTGATGACGGATCGCCGCCGGGCCGCTACAGTGGTGAGGACACGAGGCCGACCTCGCAGAAGGAGCTCGCCGGATGGTATGCCTACGCCTTTGCTGCCGAGACCTATGTCATCTGTGGTACGTCCATCTCGTTGATCTCGTCTGCCTGTCTCTCTGACACGTTGACACCTCTCTCTGCGCTTTGAGCTGACCCGTCTTCCTAGCTATTGGTATGTCGAGCCGTGTCCCGTCACGCTCACCACTTCCCCGTCTCTTTCTCTCATCTGACAGCCTCCAGGCTCTTTCATTCCCATCCTCTTAGAAACCCTCGCTCGCGAAAATGGCGTTCTGCTCTCCGACCGAACCACCCCCTGCGGCACCAGCGATTCGAAGAACAAGGCTGACGGCCAATGCGTCGTCTACGTCCTCGGCGCCGAGGTCAACACGGCCAGCTTCGCCATGTACACCTTCTCCATTAGCGTCCTCGTCCAGGCCCTGCTCGTCGTCAGCATCAGCTGCGCCGCTGACCACGGCAACTTTCGCAAGAAGCTGCTCCTCGGCTTCGCATGGACCGGCAGCGTTGCCGTCATGATGTACATCTTCGTCAGCGCCAACACCTACCTCTTTGGCGCCCTCCTCGCCATCGTCTCCAACACATCCTTTGGCGCATCGTTTGTGCTGCTCAACTCGTTCCTGCCGCTCTTGGTGCGTCATCACCCCGACGTCATCGAGGCCGAGAACAAGCATGTTCCCGACTTTGCCCAGACGGACCTCGAGTCTCAGCCCATGAGGGGGGCTGGCGCCGATTCGGACGCGGCACCTGCGGACCCCGATGCGACGTCACCGCTGCTCTCGAACGCCGAGGACATGGTCACGCCCGACTGGCCGCGCAAAGCGACACGCGAGGAGCTGACGTCGGTGGAGTTGAACCTGTCGACACAAATCTCGGCCAAGGGCATCGGTATCGGCTACACGGCGGGTCTGTTCCTTCAGTGCGTTGCCATTGGCGTGCTCATTGCCATGCGCAACACGACGTGGTCGCAACGGGTCGTCCTCTTCATGGTCGGTGCCTGGTGGGCCATCTTCACGTTCCCCGCGGCGTCGTGGCTTCGACCGCGACCGGGGCCGCCGCTGCCCATTGTCGCGGCCAGCGGGTTCTCCGGCATGTGGGCGTGGGTGGGCTATGTCATATACGCGTGGAAGTCGCTCTTCAAGACGATCAAGCTGGCCCGGCGACTCCTCGACATAATGCTTTTCCTGGCCGCCTGGTTCCTCCTCTCCGACGCCATCGCGACCACCTCGTCGACGGCCATTCTCTTCGCCAAGACGCAGCTCCACATGAAGCCCTGGGCGCTCGGCATGATCAACGTCATTTCCACGTTGGCCGGCGTCATTGGTGCCTTCAGCTGGGCGTTCATCTCGCGCCACTTCGGGCTGAAACCGCACCAGACGATTCTCGCCTGCATCGGGCTCTTTGAGGTCATCCCCGTCTACGGACTCCTGGGCTACCTCCCGTTTGTGCAGACCTGGGGCGTCGGCGGCCTGCAGCAGCCGTGGGAGATGTATCCCCTCGCGGCGGTCTACGGCTTCGTCCTCGGCGGTCTCAGCGGGTACTGCCGCTCGGTGTACGGCGAGCTCATCCCGCCGGGCTCGGAAGCGGCATTCTACGCGCTGTACGCCATCACGGACAAGGGCTCGAGCGTGTTTGGCCCAGCGATTGTCGGCGCCATCATTGACCGGTGGGGGCACATCCGGCCGGCGTTCTGGTTCCTGGCGGCGCTCGTAGGATTGCCGGCGCCTCTCATCTGGTTTGTGAACGTTGATCGTGGCAAGCGCGAGGGCGAGAAGCTGGCCGAGACGATCGACAGCTTCAAGGTGCGGCAGGCGTCGGAGGATGCGGGCACAGAAACTGACAGCGGCAGCGAGGACCGGCCCATCCTCAGTGCGTACGATGACGACGACGACGACTACGAGGAGAACGACAGGCGCCACTGATGTTCCTGATTCCCACGTCCCCTTCTCCATCCCGAGTGGGGGATGCCGCTTTTTGCATTAGTTGACTGCATAGCGTTGGCGTTTGGCACTTCTCCATTCCAGGTCGTTGGGAGATGACCGCGACACTTGATTGATAATAGTATTCACCTAGTACATACCTAGCTATCTTTTTATGTAAATGATCTATGGCAATACGAATCTCACGCTGTGTTCGTGTTTGTACTATGCTTGTTTCTTTCTCGCCGGATGCAACCGCAGCGAATACGGCCACGCTAGATAAACCCAAGTCTTCAGCAATCTCGTCTATGGCAACCACGTTCGGGGCTGAGAGACGCGGGCCGGCTGAGGAGAGGCATGGCACGCGATGCGCGATTCAGGGGTGCAGGAGGCTAGGAAGGCACCAGTACGTTGGTAGCTTAGGTAGCTTAGGTAGGTAGGTAAGGCAGGTGGTAGGTACAGCTACTGGCAACTGGTAAGGTGCCTTGCCTCCTTGGGGGCTGCAGGCGCTACATGACGTGGAGGTGCTACGTTTGGTACCTTCATCCCTTGAGGCCTGAAAATGACCTCCGGTACGCACGACGGTACGTATTGCAAGCTTCAGATTTCACGGCAGATTTCAGCTTCCCGACTTAGTGTCATGACATCGCTTGATCGCGCGATATCCGATAGAAATCTCTCCAGGAGGCGGTTGAGCCGGGTCCTTGGCTCCCAAGCTCCCGAGACCGTTCTCGGGCCTGAAGGGGTAGACAGGGTGACTAGCAACTCCGCCAGCTCTCGCAGGCCACAGCTCACAGCTCGCACCTCGCACCTCGCAGGCCACAGCCCACAGCCCACAGCCAACAGCTCACGTGACACTCCTCTTCCGACCCACCCCCAGAACGCTTTACTGTACATTGTGTTTTTCGGGGTGGCTGGCACGAGCAGGGACCGCTTCGTTGCCCGTTACGCTTAGACGACCAGCAATCTGGAGAAATCGATCGCGCGCTTCTGCACCGGTCTGGGTCCTGCTGCTGCAAAGCGCTTGACCTCTTCTCTCCCCTTGTACCTTGCTCCTTTTTTGCCTGTCCTGTCTACGCTCGACCTCGGGAGATCTTGATCTTGCTCAACGACACCTGCGAATCGACAGACCTATCCATCCAAGGGTACCTTGCCTTGCCTAGGGACCTGCATACCCTCACAGCAGCAGAGCAGTAGCCGCCAGACACCGGGCGGTAGACGCCAAACGCCAGGAGCATTTCCCCCCCCTCACCACACACCACCTTAGCCCCCCCCCCCCCAAAACGACACGCCCAAGAAAGTTAGCAGCTTTCCAGCTCTGCCACCTTTCATCAACAACACCACCCGCCCGCTCGCCTCGCCTCCTGCCACCCCCAACCCGCGATTCCGTCCGCGTCGCATCGCCCACGGGGTCATTGATTCCACTCCTCGTCAGCAATCGATTGCCGCCGTTTCCGAGTCGCCCCTGCGCCATTGCATCGCGTAGCTGGACGGCCTGGGATTCCGGGCGCATTCGGATTTATCTGTCCTTCTTCCCTCGCTTCGACCAGCTCACTCTGTCTCGTCTCGTTCCGTCTCGTTCTCGCCGTTGTCAACAATCAGGTCGACACGCTTTTTTTCTCGTGGCGCGCGACGAGTCGCTTCGATATCCGCGGGGAAGGGGTTCAGGAAAAAAAAAATCATCACACATCAAGACACACGACGGACGCCAAGGACAACATTATTCATTACTCAGCTGCGCGAACCACCGGGTCCCCTTCAGGCGCGCATAGCTCTCGCCCGTCGATTCCTCCATCCCCCGGCATCGCGGCATCAACGGCACGGAAGGGCACACAGCAAAGCGCGACACGCGGCACACGACACGCGGCACACAATGTCGGCGAGCCCCAGGAAGCGCAGCCGGGCCGAGCCCGCCGAGGACACAAAGGCCGAGTGCCCGTTTGAGGTGAAATACGAGAGCGAGGACATCAAGACAAAGGCGCGCAAGGCGGCCAAGAGGCGGAAGCAAGCACAGCAGCTGGGCGGCGCGGGCGGCGCCGACGCCGAGGAGGACGAGATCGCCAAGGTCCAGCCCTCGCCCTTCACGCCGTCCGGCTCGTTCAAGAATGACGAGAATATGGATCTCCGCTACTGGGTCGAGCCGCGGGACAAGTGGATGGCCATGACGAGGTACAACAGCTTTGTTTGTGAGTTTTGACTCTGCTTTCCCCTTTTGCGCGTCCCGCCTGCCCCGGGCCGTTCGCGACCAACCAGCTGACGGGCGCTAGTAAACTCGGCCAAGTACTTCAGCGAGGGCTTCATCTACATCTCCAACGGCATGGCGTCGCCGACGAACAACCAGGTCAAGGTTGACGAGAACGGCGTGCGGCAGCGGATGCCCAACGAGTGGGTCGGCCGCATCCTGGAGATCCGCGCGGCGGACGAGCACCACGTCTACGCGCGCATCTACTGGATGTACTGGCCCGAGGAGCTGCCGGTGCAGACCAAGGACGATGGCAAGTTTGTGGCGCGCGCGGGGCGACAGCCGTATCACGGCGTCAACGAGCTCATCGCGTCCAACCACAGTACGTATCCTCCCTCGGCTGGGGTAGACGGCGCCACGAGGCTAACGGGCAGCACAGTGGACGTGATCAACGTCGTCAGCGTCACGGCCGAGGCCAAGGTCAAGCAGTGGTTCGAGGAGAACGACGACGAGATCCAAGACGGCCTCTACTGGCGACAAGCGCTCGATGTTCGCACCCTCAGCCTCTCGGTATGTAGCCCCCCTCCATTCCTGCACGTGGGATTCCTCGTCGTGCTGACCAGGCCAGTCTGTGCATCGGACCTGCAAGTGCAAGCAGCCCGCGAATCCCGACAAGACGCTCGTCGCGTGCTCCCAGCCCAACTGCAGCACGTGGCTCCACGACGAATGCCTCAAACACGACGCCCTCATGCGGACCTTTGCGGTCCTTGGTACCGATCAGCCCTATATTGCGCCGCCGCCGCCGCCACCACCCGCCGCAGCGGAGAATGGGGAGACGGACGACAGCAAGCCAGACCAGGAAACGGGCCGGCCGCTGAGCCCCCCGGACAATGGTGTCGAGGTGCAGCAGTCGATCGACGCCAAGCCGGGCGTGTCGCCCGAGGCGGACGCAGCGGCCAAGGAGCGGCTCTCGACGCCGCGGGGCAGCGCGCGCGGCGGCGGCGGCGGCGGCGGCCAGGGGACACCGACGGTGGGCACCATCACGGCGGCGCCGGGCTCGCTGCGCAAGACCAAGGTGCCCAAGCGCGGCAAGGCCAGCGCGGCCAGGCCGTACGAGGGCCTGTTCGAGGCGACGCTCAAGGTGGCGGAGAATGTCGTCGAGATACGGGACCTGCGGGCCAATGTGACGGGCGGCGTCCAGGTGTGGACGGAGCCGCTGGTGTGCCTCGTCTGCCACACGACCATCAGCTAATGGGAAGGCTGAGCTGTGTGCTGGGAGTGCCAGTGTTGTGCCATGTCCTCTTCAGCTGTATTTATTATTTTCCCCCCCAAGGGCCCTTTGTTGGGGGTTGTCACTGGCAAGGCCGGCAGGCATGGTCAGCAGGCTCGACGGATGGGAATTTTTTCCCTTCCCTTCTTCATTCTTCCCTTGACCCCTCAGAGAGCGCGGTTTTCTTTTCTTCACCATGGCGTTCAAAGCGGACTGGAGTCGGGGCTTTCTGGTTTGTTCGGGGGTGGTGCAGGGGACTATGGTAGCAGGAGGCCCGAGGTGGTGAGGCTTTGGATGTGACAGAGCGCGTTGGTGCTCGTTGTGGTCGAGGCGACCTGGGGGTGAGATGGCATCTATATTCGTTCGTATCTCTTTTTGGAATGAGCATTGGTGTTTGTGTTTGTTTGTCTGTCTGTCTGTTCGTCTTGGTGGATGTGTCGGCGGATATGGACGATGTGTTGACCACGAGCTCTTCAGCCAGCCGCCTGCGCCTGGCACCTGTAATTATAAGCAAACACAGCATCATGCAAAGTCGTCGAGAATCTGTAATGGGCGGGTGGCATCCTAAGCAACTAAGCTCCCTACAGCACCTACCTAGCTATCCAGTCAAGCCAGTGAGACAGGTACCTTAGCTAGAGGTCTCCAGGGAGACAGGTACCTTAGCTAGAGGTCTCCAGGGAGACAGGTACCTTAGCTAGAGGTCTCCAGGGAGACAGGTACCTTAGGCCCCTCGGCCCCTTGGCCCCTAGCTCTACGGCGAGCTTCGGCGCGCGTCGAGGCTGGGGTAGATCAGCACCCGTTTCGTGCTACTTACCCCGCCACGCCCGGACGACAACTACTCCTTCTCCATCGCCTGTTCGGCTCCTCCAGAATCCAGACCACCCTACGTCAATCGACGAGAGCTCCCATCATTCACGACCGCACCACACCCCTCGCCCGGTCCACACCAACGGCATTGGACTCGAGTCGCTGTCTTCTGCCCATTCACACATCACATCATCACGATGGCGTCCGCCGACCCCTTCGACTCGGCGCTGTAAGCTCCCCCTTCTGCTGCTGCTGCTGCTGCTGCTCCTCCCCGTTGTCCTTGCTGTCCCATTAACATACCGCCCCTCAGCGACCTCCTCCGCCGCCTCAACCCAAAGCACACGGCAACCCACCTCAGCTCGATCATCTCCCTGGCGCCCGACCTGACCGAAGACCTCCTCTCGTCGGTCGACCAGCCCCTCGGCGTGCGCCGCTGCCGCCAGACGGGGCGCGACTACCTCCTCTGCGACTACAACCGCGACGGCGACAGCCACCGGTCCCCCTGGAGCAACGAGTTTGACCCGCCGCTCGACGAGGCCGGGCCCGGCGGCGTCAGCGGCGCCGGCGCCAACGACGGCGCCGGCGAGGGCGCCATCCCCAGCGAGCGCGTCCGCCGCATGGAGGTCAAGGCCAACGAGGCCTTTGACGTCTACCGCGAGCTGTACTACGAGGGCGGCGTCAGCAGCGTCTACTTTTGGAACCTCGACGACGGCTTTGCCGGTGTTGTGCTGCTGAAGAAGTGTG